GTCAGCTTTCCTGCTCCTCTGATGCTGCCTGGCCTGCTGTGTTCCTCCAGCTCCACACTGTGTTATCTCTGACTCCAGCATCAGCAGTTCTTACTATCTCTGGGTTTGTAAGTAGATGTTGGTTGCCAGGCTATCCCCAGAAATGGAAATAGATGTCTAGGAACGGAAGGGAAGAGATGGAGATGTACCAGGTGAAGGGCAGTGTGGAAATTGGAAGTGAAATAGTAAATGTTTCCAATTCTAAATGAGAGGGGGAAGCAGCAGTGATGATGTCATCAACATACCGTAGAAAGAAAATCATGGGACCTAAGTAGGATTGGAACAAGGAATGTTCCACGTACCTCACAGACAGGCATAACAGGGGCCCATATGGGTACCCACAGCCACACCTTTGACTTGAGCGAAGTGAGATTAATTAGAAAGGAGAAATTCTTCAAAGTGAGGACTAGTTTAGCCAGGCAGAGGAGGGTGGTGGTGGATGGGGACATTTTTTTTCCAGGAAGAAGTGGAGAGCCCTGCGACCATCTTGATGGGGGATGGACGTGTATAAATCCATGGTGAGGAGGGGGCAGCTGCTGCTCGCATAATGGAAATTCTGAAATTGATGTAAAGTGTCAGAATAATTGCAGACGTAAGTGGGGAGAGACTGGACAAGGGGTCAAAAATCAAGTCGAGATAGGAAGAAATAAGTTCTGTGCGGCAGGAACAGGCAGAAACAATGGGTCTGCCCAGGACACAGGCCTTCTCACCAACTCTGAAGCCAATTATCCCATTACATAGGCTGCTTTCAGCACAGACTACCCATTCGCTCCTCTCAGCTCTCATGATCACTTATTCAACTCCTCTTCAGCTCTGGCCTACATTCAATAGTCCCTTCACTTGTCTACCTTTTTCATATCTCTCTCTCTGGACTCCATCTCTACCTATTCCCTCACCTCATCTTCAGCATCTACTTTTTCCAATCTGCTAACAGTTCTGATCAAGAGTCACCAGACTTGAAACATTAACTTTGCTTTCTTCCCACAGCTGCAGCCAGACCTCCTAAGTTTCACTAGCAATTTCTGTTCTGGTTTCTGATTTCCAGCAACTGCAGTTCTTTTGATTTTTCATCAGTCTGTACATGGGTTTGATGTTTTGTTAGATGCGACTAGTTCAATTTGGATTGAGTTTACAGATCATTTGCAGTTTTCCTGAGTTCTTAAAATATTAAGTTTTTGAACTGATGAGACATTTTGCCCAAGCTCCCTTGGGCAGCTTTATATAGACATAATTGTGGGAAAATATGGATAATTTTCAAAGGTTTTACTGAACAATATTTTTATAGAAAGCATGTACGCATGATATGCTTTGATACAAATCATTTTGTAGCGTCATGTTCTATAAACCTTACAGTGTATTAAATGAAGCAACAGACTGATGAGAGGGAGGCAATTTTCTTTTAATAAAAACCGAAAGAACTGCGGCCGCTGTAAATCAGGAACAAAAACAAAGTTGCTGGAAAAGTTCCGCAGGTCTGGTAGCATCTGTGACAGAAAAAAGAGTTAACGTTTCAAGTCCAGTAACTTTTCCTCAGAACTCTTCTTTTAATTACTGACTTGTTGACAGTAAAACAGTTGATGCTTAGATTCTAATTTCTGACTCTAAGATAGTGGATACTAAAAAAAAAGCAGACATTCTGTTTATTTCTTGGGTCCAACTTTAACTGGAATCTACAATTTCTGTACTTGAATTCTCCTTAACCACCATTCCTACAGGGGTGGAGAGGTATGGATGGGAGATAGTTCTCAGAACTTTTGGCACTTGCCAGGATTCAGTGATATTGTTCTAACTGCTACATCATTTGTCATAGCTGTTTATTTATCCATGAGCATCAGTGGCAAGCCTGGCATTTATTGCACATCCCTAAATGTCCTTGAGGTGATAGTGATATACCTTCTGTAACTACCGTAATCCTATAAATGTAGGTACACTCACAATGCTGTTTAAAATAAAGGTGCTCGAGGGTTTTGACCCAGTGAAGGAACAGCAATATGATTCCAAGTCAGGATGTGCACCTTGGACAGGAATACATAAGCGGTGGTGGTCCCATGTATCTACTGCTCTCCTCCTTTATGTGTTGAGATCACAAGCTTGGAAAGGTCTGTTGATGGACCTGGTGTTCAATGGTCAATGGTCAATGCTCATTAAAGCTTGCAGAATAGAAAGGGTTGATCACAGTAAAATGAGTAAGTAAACTGAAGTGACAAAAAGTCTTTTATTGCGGTGACTTGTACCCTGGAGTTGAACTACTTGAACTAAGGTTTCTGAAAAATCATTGCTAACGACAGAGGAAGAATAATCTTTCGCCTTCCTCTCATCTTCAAAGAAAAGGGTGAATAATGTCTAGTTGGTAATATTACTTTTCCAATTTCTTCCAAATAATCTCGAATTCGTAGCCTTAATTCTGTTCTAATTCAACTCTGTGGTGCAATGGCAATGCTAGCAATTGATTCAAGATACTCTCAATATCTATTGACCCTTTACATATTTGCAGGAACTTGACTAGTTAAGGAAAGGGAATTGAGTTTAAGAGCCAAGAGGTTGGCCAACAATTGTACAACACAAAACTGTATGTACACAATCTCATTTTATCAGTAATTAACCATAGGTCAGTTTTTGGAGCCTGAATGCCTGAGCTACTAAGCTGCAATATGGACGCACCGGTGTTGGAGTGGGGTGGACAAAGTCAAAGTCACACGACACCAGGTTATAGGCCAACAGTTTTATTTGAAATCACAAGCTTTCAGAGCACTGCTTCTTTGTCAGGTGAAGTCGTATGACTTCTTACTTTGTCCTACACAGCTTTGTAAAGTGTCACCAGAAAGAAGATTTATAGTCGTTTTTTCTGGGCTCTACCATCAAAAGGCAGTTCAACAAATAAAGTTGAGGTTGGTACCTTAGTGCATCTGGCAGAACAGCATGAAAATGTGTTTTTAAACTGGGCATTGAACAATACTGATAGAAATAGGTTTCCATCGGGGGGGGGGCAGGGTGGGTGTTGATGGTGGTTATTTTGGGTTGGCCATAGTTTTGATTTACAACCCATTGCCCCCTTTTTAGGGGCTGTGGGTTGTTCAGGTTGAATGGGAAGAGAATGAACGATCAAAAACATTATTAGTTTTACAGGAAAGCTTAATAAATCTTACATGGGTTGCATTAAAAGTAAACCAATATTTTTATTCAAATTTTACATTTTAGAAGTATTCAGACCAGATTCTCAAGTAGTCAATCAGTTCTCCGCGTGCAACATCATCCAAAATGAACAGCTCATTGTACTGGTTGTTTCACTCTTGACTTCTTTCCCTCGTATATAGAAAAGGGTGAATAATGTCTAGTTGGTAGTATGATTTTTCTAATTTCTTCCAAATGATCTTGGTTTCCTAGCCTTGATTCTGTTCTGACTAGACTCCATATTCAAAAAGGGCTCTGATTTAGATCATTTAATGACAATAACCAGACATGTTGAAAGAATAGCTGTTGTTGGCAATCAGCATTTAATTCAACCCAACAAACATCACCTTGTGATTCCTTGTTCTCATTCCCCTTCATTATGAAGGACATTAATCTCTATCTTTTCCAAAAAATAAACCTGCATTAAACATACCTTAACTTTGTTCAAGGTTATAGAAAGAATATTTTTTCAGGTTATAATGTAAATGGGTTTTCTCACATCCAGTCTACTGGTTGCATGCCTTTGCAATAGACTTTTGGATTTGTTAGTTTTACTCCAATATAGAAATCATCATTTCTGTGGTCTATGGCACAAGGGAAAAAAAATCTCAGTATCTCATGACCGAGGAAGCCGAATAAGGACGCAAGGGTATTTTAACAGTTCAGGCTATAAACAGCTATCTTTACCTTTACATTTTATCAATATTCACTAGTTTGACAAGGTTAATTGAGGAAGCAGATGAAATTGCATTACTTTATCCAATGGTAACATTTTGTGGTTCAGATAGTTGTAAGGTTGCATAAACTTACAACTCCTGTTATAATTGCCTGTCGCAATTAAGTATTATTCCGTGACATCATTAGAGGCCTGTCCTTTCGATTAGCCATCCAGTATCATATCCAATAGCTCCCATTTCATGCCTTGTAAATTCAGTCGACCCCATTAAGTTTACTATTTAAGATGCTAAATTGATTGAAGAAGAATCTCCCAATTTCTATTTCAATTTACTTCAACCATTTGTGTACTGGATGAGGTACCTCATTTTCAAATTGCTTGATAATTTTCAATTTCAATATTCACAAAATCTATTCGTAAATTGTAGTACAGGGGGCTGGTTTAGTTAGTAAAACCTGCTTTGGAAAATTTATTACGGAGAAGCTGTCAGCTGGTCAGCAAGTAATATCAATGGCTCAGCATCATTCTCCTATTACATCAAGCTTTCTCAATTCAAATGTCACATCAGCATTCCTGCAGAGATCTACTTTCACTTCCAACACAGTATTTTTGCTACCTCTGTGAAAAAGACAGTTCAAACAAGGAAGATTAAGAACAGTGTCCGCTGAGAACTGGGAAAAATATGTCTATATCCAATCCCTTTCCAGATGAATCTTTCAGAAAGATGATAGATTTGCACAGGCTGAGGGTGAAGGTATTTATCCAATTTAGTGTCATCATTCTACAGTTCATTACAACGCCTAGTTCTTCAAATAAGTGTCTAGCAATTGGTCACCCCTGCCATCCTATTCTCTGCCTTTTGTAGCTTTGAAACACTGTTCCCTTATCTAGTTACATTGGTGCACCTAATATTGTTTGGCTATACTTTCTCTCTTTCTGATAACACAGTAACATTTCAACTCAGCCCTAGTCTATCCTGAACTGTTTTCACTATTTTCCACGATTAGTCTCGTCTGCATATTGCTTCTTAGCTATTGTTCAATATTCTAAGTTGGGGCATTCCCAGTAGTCTACAGTATTCATAAAGTAACTACTCAAACTTGCAGTCATTTACCACACTTTTCCTTTTCTCATGAGATATTTTGACAATCTGTCCAGTATGATTAATTCATCCACTCTCTCTCTCCCCCTTCTCAGTGAAATACACTGAGCATGTACAATTTGGAAGTTCTGCCACTGCTCTCGACAATAGCCTTAGTAGACTAAACCTGCTGACATGGCAGTAGTTTTGGGTAGACCACTGTAAAAGCAAACAAGCATTGGGAAGACTCAGCATGATGGGAGATCACAGCAGTTCAGATTTTCATCAACCTTCTCCTCTATTACCTATGTGTAAGTAACAGAGAAAATGAAAAAAATAAGCAAACCAGGAATGCAATAGCAGAAATGCAAAATTAGTTTTTCTAAAAAAAAAATGCAACTAATATTAGAAAGATGTTCCTCACTCAAACTGTGAGAAAATTAGAAGTACTCTGTTTACACACACAATTAAGATTGGGATGGGGAGGTAGGCAGAGAGAGATGGGTTGAATTATCTTGCCTTCTCTGTGAACTTTCTTACAGCCTTCAGGAACAGTTCGTAATTAAACCACCGTAACTAGATTGACCCATTTGTATTTTCAAAAGCAGATGATTCTTATATACTTAGATCACAAAAGGGATACAATGAGAACTGATAGACAGCTGTATTTCATTTTATACAATCCTGTAGTTAGAACTTAAACTAATTTGAAATATTTAATTCTGAACTGGGCATTCACATGGAAAGTAACATTTGATCACTACTTTCCACAGAATTTGATAGCTTCAAATCAAAACATCTAAAATGCTTTTAGAACAGCAATATTTTGTGATTATATTGACAGGTTATTGAAAAGAAACTAGATGGGCTGACAGATTAAGGATGTAAACTGATGTTCTATAAAGGTGGATTCTCTCTACCTGGTGAAACGGTGTTTCATAATCAATCTGGAATAAAAATTACATTCTATAAAATAATCTTTTCTTTTTACAAAGTAATCAGATGCATGTGAATGTAAGGACAATGAATCTGCGATACAAGTCAGCAAATTCAACTGCAGTCCAACGTTGATCCAAATCAAAGAAATACCAGAAGTCTTTTTCATTCATGCAAATGGCATTGATTCCTCTGTTTTTACTGTTTAGGTGCAAAAATAATGGGATTATGCTATTTATTTTATAAACACAGGACTGGTGTATTAAAAGCTCTTGAAGAACTTTGAGGGGTAATTTGACAGTGTGAGATGGATTGGGATTTGCCCTTTGCCTCAGAGTGGACTTATCATAAATATCATCCTGCAATCTCCAATACTTTGAACCAACTTTGCTGCATACTTCAGCATCCATAAATGTAATGACCTTTAAAGAGGTAAAAACATTATGCTATAGGGTCCCTATTTAGGACGATTTCTATAACCACAACACAATCCTGAAAAATCTGTCACCTTTGTGCATTATCCAGTTCCACCTCGCCAGTTAAAAAATTACAATCTACATCCTTCATCCTTCTTTTGCTCTGCTGCTGGAGGTAGGAACAAACTAAAATACATTTTATGGCTGTGCTAACAGGGGGGCTATAGTGGTGGAAGGGTAATTCAACACACCTCGCCTCTGTACAATGGGAATGCCAAACCCAATTGTGTAGCTCCACCACACCTCTTTCACCAATATGCTGCACTACCTTATATCACGAATCACAGATCAAACCTGGAACAATCCTGTTCTATAACATTAAGGAACTGTGATCCTATGAAAGGAATAAAGGAACAATCAACGGGTTAAAAAGGATCACCCAGTGTTGTTACTGATGGACTCATTGCAGCTCCAGCTCAACAACTTTATTTTAAATACGATACTATGTCAGGTCACCTATTTAGGAATTACCAGATATTTGTACTGATTAAGTTTCTAAACGCATGTTAAAATCACTGTTGAAATAAAGCACTCAAAGAAGTTCTAAAGTTGATATGAACTGTGATCATGAATTAATTGTGAAGAAAAAGTTTTTCTTCATATCACCAAATGCCATTGGATTGTGTTGAGATTGTCTATTTTTAAACTTTCTCCTTTTCATGGGGTCTCTCCACAGATGAGTGTCACAGACCCATCAAGTAAATCATTCACATTCAGAGCCACAATTTCATGGGGCCCTGAGGAACTGTTTTGGGAATTAGGTAAAGCCACAAACACCTGTGATCCAACACTGTTGAGATGCGTTTCCTCGAGGGATATGACCTGTTCAGTGGCACTCATTTGTTCTGATGCTTGGATAACCTATATTGGTAAAAAAAAAACAAAGTAAGCAGCATGTCAAACACAATAATAAATTACGATACTAAGTAATAGAAACCTTCAGTACTTCAGACAGAACTTGTGGTGCGAGGAGGGAAAGATTAATGCTTCAGGTCCATGGCCCTTCGTCAGAATTCTATCACCTTTTGATGTAGAGTTCCTAAGGAGAAAAATTAAGCTGTCCGCCTGTAACATCATCTGATCCTGAAGGCCACAGACCTCTATTAGTTCAGTTGACAGGACAGCCAGTTTGTGATGCAAGTGGTGCCAACAACTTGGGTTCAATTCCCACACCAGCTGAGGTTACTATGAAGGACTCTCCTTCTCAATCTCTCCCCTCGCCCGAGTCGTGGTAACCTGCAGGTTAAACCACCACCAGTTGTCTCTCTTTCTAATGATCTGGTAAGACTATGGCGACTTTACCTTTAGACCTGAAACATTACCCTTGCCTTTCCCTATCCACAGATGCTGCCTGTTCTGTGGAGGAAGCCAGCATTTTATTTCAATACTTTATTAAAATATTTCATAGAAAATGCTAAAATGTTGTTGTTCCTTTGTCAATCATCTACTGACAAATTTACAAACTGCCTGAACTTAGATGTAGGGAGCAGCATTATAAAGTCTGCAGAAACAAAACTTAGTACAACAGCAGTGATGAGGATAGTTCAAGGCTTTGGGATGGCAGGATGGTGAAACAGACAGAAATATCAACTCGTGGAAAAGTGTGAGGTGATGCTCTTTGAGACAACTAATATGGGAAGACAGTGTACTTTTAAATATTTAGGTAAGTTGAAACTTTATAAGCAAATCTTTGAAGGTAGCAGGGCAAATGATAAATGGTTAAAATGGGTACCCTGGGTTTATAATCAGATGAATAGCATATGAAAGCAAAGAAGACGATGTTAGAACTTCATACATCAATGTTTTTGCTGAGCCTGACCCAATATGAGAATGAATCAATAAATCATTAGCAGAAGATCTAGAAAAAAGATATTCAGAATAATTTCAAGGGTTCAGAACAATTTGGGAACACTCAAGTTGAAAAGTTGATTGAAGTTGATGCTATTTTAGCATTGGGCAGGTACTTGAGGGTATAAAATTATAGGGTTACAATTAAAAGCAGGGCTAATCATGACTGTTTTGTCAAAGAGCCAGCATATCACTCCTCATTCTGGTGTTTGTGAATAAGGTTGCAATTGGTACCGTTACACTGTGGGTTTGCATGCAACAGGCTTGAGAATTACTTTTTGCTCCACAAGTCAAAAATCAGCACATTATCACCTAGTTCTCCCTCTCACTCGATCTTTTAACACCTGACAAGAAAAAAAATTATAAATCCAGTGAAAATTTTTCATACTACCTCAGTTACGGTCAATGATAGAGGAAAGTTTATGATTTAATAAGAATCCATGCCCATGAAGGTGTCTCAGTCCTGTCCTGCATTGTGTATTATCTTTTATCTTTTACCAGAATAAATCACATTCAAAGTTTGAAATTAAACCAGCATTATGGCAAATATAACATTATAGCTCTATGCACTGCAGGATTCCAATGAGATTTACTTTGAATAATTGGGGTAATATTGAAAACCAATAACCGAATGACACTGTACACCATTTAACTTCCTTTGAATATAAAGCATCATATAAAATCTTCTGGTAATTAAAGAAAATAGGTCCCTTCAATTATTCCGAACGTGTTTCTTACTTGTTAGTCTGATTTGCAGTACACTAAGCAGTGTACACAATGGGAGACAACAAGGTGCAGGGCTGGATGAACACAGCAGGCCAAGCAGCATCATAGGAGCAGAGAGACTGACGTTTCGGGCCTAGACCCTTCATCAGAAAAGGGGGAGGGGAAGGGGGTTCTGAAATAAATAGGGAGAGAGTGGGAGGCGGATAGAAGATGGATAGAGGAGAGGATAGGTGGAGAGGAAACAAACAGGTCGAAGAGGCGGGGATGGAGGCAGTAAAGGTGAGTGTAGGTGGGGAGTTAGGAAGGGGATAGGTCAGTCCAGGGAGGACGGACAGGTCAAGGGGGCGGGATGAGGTTGGTCGGTAGGAGATGGAGGTGTGGCTTGAGGTGGGAGGAGGGGATAGGTGGGAGGAAGAACAGGTTGGGGAGGCAAGGATGAGCTGGACTGGTTTTGGGATGCGGTAGGGGGAGGGGAGATTTTGAAACTTGTGAAATCCACATTGATACCATTGGGCTGCAGGGTTCCCAAGCGGAACATGATTTGCTGTTCCTGCAACCTTCGGGTGGCATCGTTGTGGCACTGCAGGAGGCCCAGGATGGACATGTCATCTGAGGAATGGGAGGGGGAGTTGAAATGGTTTGCGACTGGGAGGTGCAGTTGTTTATTGCAAACCGAGCATAGGTGTTCTGCAAAGCGGTCCCCGAGCCTCCGCTTGGTTTCCCCGATGTAGAGGTAGCCACACCGGGTACAGCGGAGGCAGTATACCACACTGGCAGATGTGCAGGTGAACATCTGCTTGATGTGGAAAGTCTTCTTGGGGCCTGGGATGGGGGTGAGGGAGGAGGTATGGGGGCAGGTGTAGCACTTCCTGCGGTTGCAGGGAAAAGTGCCGGGTGTGGTGGAGCTGGAGGGGAGCCTTGGCTCAGTGGCACTGATCCAAGGTATTTACTACTGATAAAAGCCTGTGTGCTAAGGAATGAGAGAAAAATAAATAAAATGTCCACAAAATCATTGGAGCCCGGTTGGGTGACTTTATTGAAAAAAAGGACAATGCAAGTTGCTGTTTGACTAAGGAAAGACTGAAGTGTTCAGCACACCATATTTAATACAAGGTGTGGTGGATTAGATGACTTCAGTTGGGTGCTCCCCTCCACAAAAAGGTGTTCCCCATTGTGCAGCTATGTTGGTGGTAAGACCAGCAGCTGACTAAGACTATCCAGCCTTAAACACAACCCTTTGCTGTCAAGCAGAACTTTTGCCCAGGAGGATGCCAGCTGAAGATCAGGAACATATAAAACAACTCTGCAGAATGGGGAATATGCTGGAGGAAAAACACAAAGTAATTTGAATGGTCAAATGTCTGGTTAATATAGAAAGACAGCTAGATTACTGATTTACAAAAATGTAAAGGTAACACATACGAGAGGAGTTGCATCAAAATGAATGATAGCAGAACTTGACTGTAGTAGTGAGTGGGATATAGTGAACTGAGGTTACAGGACAGAATGTGCCGCTATAGTATTCCAGAGGAGATGAAAGGAAATGACAGGAAATGATATCACAGATAAAGTTAGTGTGGAAAAAGCACGTTCACCATTGGGAAACAGAAAATGTTATTTGTCACATAACTTCATATTGAAAAATTTGGATGCACTGCCTGATGGGGATACAGATTCAATAATAACTTCTGGAAAGGGGATTGGATAATATTTGAGGGAGACAAAATATCACAGGGATTACAGGAAAAGAGCAGGGAATGGAAATAAATGTATCGCTCTTTGAACAAATGAGTATAAAATCAACAGGCTGAATAGCCTTCTTCTGTTCTACTCAATTGTAGGAATCTAAGTGGATAGAATAGAGAAGTTGGCTTTGTTTTCCCAAGAGGACAGAAGCTTAGGGAAACTGTAATAGAGCTGCTAAAAATTAGTGTTTAGGAATAAACAGGCAAAACTTTTTCTACTGCAGGATGGTGATCACAATAAGCAGGTTTAAAAAATCCAAGGGGAACATGCAGTTCTGACCTGGAATGCGCTTCTTCAGTGGTGTTGGAAGCAGATTCAACAGTAACTTTCAGAAGACAAATGGATACATAAATCAAAAAGGTACAAGTAACAGGATTGTAGGGAAAGAGTAGATTCACAGATTCATACAACACAGTTTGGCCCTTCGGCCCATTGAGTCTGCACCAACATAACTACCACAAAAAGTGCACTAATCCCAATTTCCTGCACTTGTCCCATATCCTTGAATGTTATGATATTTGAAGTACTCTTACAAAATTTTTTAAAAGGTTGCAAGGTTTCTGGCCTCCACTACATTCCCAGGCACTGCATTCCAAATTCCCGCCACCTGCTGAGCAAAAACTTTTTTTTTCCCAAATCCCCTCTGAATTTCCTGCCCATTACCCTAAAATAAGGCCCTCTTGTGAGTTATCCCTTGACCAAGGGGAACAGCTGCTCCCTATTTACCCTTTCCATACTACTCATAAGATTATACACCTTAATGATGTTCCTCCTCAGTCTTCTCTGCTCTAAAGAAAACAATTCAAGCCTATCTAGTCTCTCCTTATAGTAAACTTTCTCCATCCCAGGTAGCATTCTGGTGAACCTCCTCTGAAACCTGCCTAGTGCTATCACATCTTCCTGTAGTGAGGTGACCAGAACTGCACACAGTACCCAGTTGTGTCCTGACCAACACTCTGTACAATTCCAACATTACATTCCTTGCTCTTGTACTCTATGCCACAATCGATGAAAGCAAACGTCCCATCTGCCTTCTTAACTATCCTATTCACGTGCTGTGCCAACCTCAGGGATCTGTGAATAATTACCCCAAGATCCCGCTATTCCTCTTCGCTATCCAGTGTCCTGCCATTCATTAAATACGCCCTCATCTTGTTTCTTCTTCCAAAGTGCATCACATCATACTTATCAGGGTTAAATACGACCTGCCATCAGTCTGCCCATCTGACCAATCCGTCTATATCTTCCTGTAACCTAAAACCATCTTCATGATGACCCAAAATAAAAACTGAAAGAACTGCAGATGCTGTAAATCAGGAACAAAACAAAGTTGCTGGAAAAGCTCAGCAGGTCTGGCAGCATCTGTGAAGGAAAAAGCAGAGTT